CTGTAAGTAGTGTTTGCACTGACTAACGAGATGGTGTTGCTGGGTTTTTAATTTAAATTAATTTGGGGTGGGGTGGGAAAATGTTCATTGAATTGTCTTGGTTAAATATTGTTTATCATAATTTCATGTTCACATTTAATTTTGCATGTTCTTTGGCTATTGAGTTTCAGAAGGCTGTGAAATGTGTAATAATATAGCATTACCTGACTTCCAGTTAGACTGAAAAAACAAACAAACCCCAAACCAAACAAGAATGCTTTGTTGCCTTGCTGAAATGTGACTGGAAAAGGTTGTTTTGACATGGCATCTGAAGGTAGATAGAGTCAACTGATTATCCCCAAGTGTTCTGGAAATAGAATTCTTTGAAGCTTAAAATTGCACAGTCAACATTTTGAAAACAAAAGCAGGGCACTCCTTTCTGGTTACCTTATCTGTATGTAGTTTGTGTCTCTTTTCTTTCCCTATTTCTTTGAGATGAATTTTACTTTTTATTATTATTATTTTTTAATTAACTTCTGTGAAGTTGTTTATTCTGAGAATTGTACTGGAATATTTTAAGCCAAGCCGATCTTTCACCAGGTGTACTGTATGTAAGGGCTTTTCCTGCTAGCAAAATGCTTAAACAGGATCATGTTATTGGTCGTCTGAGTTGTTAAGTTGTTTTACAAAACCACAGCAATGTATCAGATAAGATTTTGATAACAAAAGTTTTGTGCACATTTCCAGGGGTGGGTGGGTGGGTCAGGGTGGGAGGGCTGTCTTTTCCCTGAGGTTTCCTGATCAGAATAAGAAAATGCCAGTGTTTGATACCTGTCTTAATGAACATGCCCATAAGATGACTGATGTGTTGTATATATATCTGAGAAACAAGGGGGGTAGTTTTGATATTCTAGTGTCAGTATGGAAGATCTTACACTTTTATTTAATACTCAGATGTATGAAGATGTTTGTAGCATAACAGCACAGTAGCCTTTATGTAGTTTCCTTTGGCTAATACTGTTTGTTGCAGGAGCCATTGTTCCCCATCCCTGCAAAGAAATATTATTTATTTCACCTTGTAGCCTGAAATGAATAGGAAGTAAACCATGTTACATTAACTTATTTCTGATGTTATAAATTAGCCTAGAATATTACAGGAACATGATTGTTGTATAATTTATATCAGAACCTTTCTATAAATATGAGCTTACTACATTTGAAATGCTTCCGACATACTTTCTTTGCTATATGTGATCCTCCTCAAGTATATGCAAACTAGTATGTCTGTTTCTTGGATATTTAAATAGTGAGATCTTCCATGTTGAAGGTGATGTATTTTTTTTTTAAGATTTTTAAATTGCTATTTTGTTACAAAAATAGAGACCTATTAACAGTTTGAGAGCTCCTTATGCGCCCTCAGGGAAAGAACCCTCTGTGCAACAGAACTACACAGACCATCTTCAGCATGTTCTGGGGGTGAATATATACTACATAAATTGATCTTGTGTATTTAACCGTATCTTTTTAATTTTAAAATTGCAATTTTAAAACTTGGTTGTGCTCTGCTGGAGGGGTTTGGGATAACTGCTTAGATGTTTGCCTACTTGTCTGGTGAAATTACATTTGCATTTAGTGTATACCTGCCAACCTTACTGGTATGTCTCAGAACAGATGTATTATTTAAAAAAAAAAAAGACAAAACAACAAAAAAAATACTTTTCTTGCAGCGGGTGGTCCCACAGAACATCATCTCCCCTACCTGAAAACTCTTCTTTCTTACTACTTACATAGGAATTGATTCTGTGTTGGAGTTATTCTGTATTGAATCTTTACTATGTGTAGTAGCAGCCTCGCTTTTGTAACTGTGGGTGTATGGTGAGGCAAAGGAGTTGGATGTTTGCCACTTGAAGACAGCAGAAAAGTGACCCTTTTTCACAAAAGTGCCATGGTAAAGAAGCTATAAACCAGAACTTAGTTCTTTTTGATAACTATTTCCTGTCATGTCTCTTTTCCAACAAACAAGTATATACCTATGTGTATTGAGAGTCAAAAGATTTCAGGCAGCAGGAAACTGAACACCAATAATTGCACTGTAATGTATTTCTATATGCTGCCTCTGATCAGTAATATTTAATTAATTTGGCCTGTGGACTTTAAGACTTGACCAGGAAAAGGGTTGACAACAGTCCAGAAAGTATAGTATTGTTATTTTGGTTTTAATATCTTTCTGAGCTCCATGAACAGTATGGGTAGTCAATACGGTAGGATAATCCTGTTGCATGGCCTCATTTCACACATAGGTCATCCTAAAATATTAGTTGTATTCTCCTGAGCAAACTTAAAAGTGATGACAGTTTGTAAAGCACTCGCTTTCAAAAGCATATAAGAGATCAGTATCTTAGTGGCATGGATAAAAAATTGTGCACTATACATTTCAAAGAAAATTTTCTTTTCAGTCACCAAGTGGCAGCAATTTTTCAAATGATTTCACTGTGTAAAGGGACACAATGAAAGGGTTACCTCACTTTCTAGTACTGAGCGGTTACCATTGTCATGAATCTAATCACTTTACCTTGAATTTGAAGTTGATGCTAAGGATATAGCACATCCAAATTATGTGTTATTCCAAGTTATTATAGGATGAGTTGATAAGTGGTGTACAACCGTTTGCAAGACCTGAAAAGTTGAATCATTTGGAAAGTGTCTTTATAACCTCATGTAGCATACTTTTGACAGTTGTCAAAAGAGCCCAAGTTGTCTTGTTAGCATGAAATACATGTTTAAGTATCAGCTGCATGTGGTTTCTGCACAGTGTCTGAGTAGTACCTAACTCTTCATTTGAGTCAATCTCCAGGCAGGATGTCACCAGTATTGATAGATAATCATTAAAGGGGAAAGGGCTACCAATGGAGAAATTCCTGTAAAGTGTGTTTTCTGGTCTTTTAGTACACACAATGTTGGTGGGATCACTTACTTTAGAGCATCCCTCTAACACATGGACCCCTTCTGCAAGCAGAACACAGATGTGTCCATACTTCTGATTAAATGTGCAATTAATCCCTTGGTACTAGAAGTCACCAATTGTCCCTTTGCTGGCAAGGGAATGTCCTAGGCACTTGGTGTCAAGGGTTAGTGTATCAAAATTTCCCACATTGTTCATTGACAATGGAATTACGTTGACAGTAATCCCATAAACCTCAAATCAGCATTCCCCACCCCCTCCCCAATTTTCTAAAATAATTTCAAACCAGCAAAACACAAACATTGGCTGCATATAGTACTGCCAAAAGCCAAGGTCATTTGCACATATCCCATCAGTCTATCAAGAATTAGGCCTCAGTTAATCCAAGGCATGGAAGTGCATGCGTTCTCTTTAGCTGGGCAAACAATTATACTGTAGTTGTGATACAACACATGTGGCTTTTATTGGTACTGCACATATCCACTGTACAGCCACTTGGGAGTATCGTGGTTAGCTTGCAGCATCTGCTGTCTGCATTTATACTGTTTATCGCATATTCTTTTCCCTGAGAGTTTATGAAAATGTTTTTTCTCGTTGCATTGATTACATTTTATAAATTTGCTTAGCTGGAAAGTTTGGGAAAAGAGGCCTGTTTGTCAATTGTACAACCGATTGTGAAGCTCTAGTGTGAATATTTTTACGTCTGTATTAGACATTTTCTTTGCAAATCTATTGTTCGATTGAAATGTAAATGAAATTAAAGATGGTGTACACCCATCATGTATAAAGCAGGCACCATCTCTAAGATGGATTTAAATGCTCATTTTTAAGGCATATACTCAGCTTCTATTTAAAACTATAATTTAAAATAATTCTGTACAATGAAATGGGGGATATATATGGGAATAAATTCTATTCCATTTATTTCAATTTGAATTTCCAAATTGTAATGTTTCCCTTTGTGCTATAGGAATAGGATTAAATGGGGGAAGGCTTGGACTCTATGCAGGCCTGTATTTGGGGGGAGGGGAGAGATGGAACAATGAGGGTTGTGATGATACTGGATAGCAAAGGGTGAATTCTGTGTGTTTTTGCTGTAGCACTGAAGTAAAAAGATATTAGCTTTGGCTGTTCACAGAATAGAGCATCATGGTTTTCAGTGTTTGAGAGAAAATTGATGGAAAAAGTTTGCAGTACTTGACATGTATTTGCATGCACGAAATAAAATTATTTGTCCACCTTAAAAAGTTGTTTTGTTGTATTTCAGGTCATTTTCAAAAGGTACTCCAAAAGCAAATTTTATATTGCACGTTATCTTTTTTTGTTTGTTTTGCTAGGTAGTGTAGCTAAGTGACTTGGCCAGGGTCACACAGCTACTAAGTGTCAAGTGTCTGAGATCGCATTTGAACTCGGGTCTTCCTGACCCCAGGGCCGGAGCGCTATCCATTGTGCCACTTAGCAGCCCCTATCGCACATTATCTTAACTAATTTTTTTTCCTGCGATTTATTTGGCCTGGCAAAATTTTGGTTTTGAGAACCCAGGAATTTGGAGACTTCGGTCCTGAGCTTTGCTACTAACCCAGGCAAAGTTTTAATCTTTCTGGTTTTGTTTCTCCCTCTGTAAGATGAAAGGGTTGGCTATCTAAGGCCTACAAGTACTAGTGCAAGGCCTAATACAAGTGCTAATAATATTCTATATCGTCCCTCTCAATCCTATGACTTTTATATGGCAAAGGGCTTTCTTTGAGAGGCTTCAAATTTTTTCTTGCCAGGGACAAATTGGGTGAGGGGGAAAAAAAACTTCCCTCCAATATTCCAATGCAGCAATGCGTTGAAAACAGCCCTTTGAATTCTGCACAGCCTTTGGCCTTCTTGAAAAATAAATGAGCCGCTACGTGAATTGGCAGGCCACGGTTACGTGGAAGATTTTTGTCCTGAAGCGCGACTCGTAGACTGGCTGGCGTGTGGGTGGGGCATATTATGATTGGTTCTAGCCAGCGCGTGCGGACTGGGCTCCAGATGCCTTCTTCCCGATGGGTCTACTCTAGTCTAGGTGGGGACGCTAGCTTCCGGTTTCTCTGGGCTCTCGAGGAGTCAGTGCTTGCCTTCCTCCCCGCCCTGCTCGAGCTTCATTGGTAGCTCTCAGCTGCCCTTCCGTGTCCCGGAGGCGGAGTTGCCCACCGGACGGGACCGGGGAGTGAGCTAAGCAGGTTTAGCTGCGCGGGAGCTTCGGGAATGGAATAGGGGAGGGGTTTGGAGCCTGCGGGGGGCGGCCGGGAAAGCACGGGGGTGGGGGGGAGGGGAGGGCGCGCGGGCGCAGTCCTGCGCTGACGTCATAGTTTGCGCTATGCTCCACCTGACATACCGGGACCTGGGGCCTGGAGGGAGCGTTGGCCTCCCGCGCCGTAACCTTCCTCCCAGCCTCTAATCAAACGGGGCCCACTCTGGATATCCACGCTCCACCCCTTCAGCTAGCGAACCCTTCCACCACCCCGCCTCTTTCCCTCCAGACATCCCTGACGTTGCTAGAAATCCACCAGCAAGCATTTATTAGGCACCTACTGGTGTGGAATACGAGGCTAGACCAAAAATGAACCCCCTCTCGACCCAAAGGAAATTACATTCTACAGCAAGGACACATTTTGTATATATGTATTATATACAGAAGATGTATTTTATGTTGTATGTATATATTTTGTCCTTAAAGTAAATACAAGGAAGTTTTTTGAGGGGAGGAGGAGGAACAACTAAAGGGGTAGGAATGAAGAGAGGCTTCATGAAGGAGGTGGCTTTTGATTTGATTCTAAGAGGCCATTTGAAGAACATGGGCAACGTTCGTAGGCATAATGCCCAGAGACCCGGTGTAGTGTAATGTGTGAGGAGCAGCCCAAGTTAGGTTGAAATATAAAGTGTATAAAGGGGAGTAATGTCTAATAAGTACCTAGCTTTTCAGAATCTGGGGCCAGATTGGGAAAAGTTTTAAATGCTGAAGAAAATTTTGTATTTGTTCCTTGAGATTATAGAGAACCACTGTAGTATGTTGAGTTTAGGAGTGATGTGGTCATATCTGCACTTTAGGAACATCACTTTGGCAGCTGTATGGAGTTTGGATTGGAGAAGGGAAAGACTTGAGGCAGGGAGACTATTGCAATAGTTCTGGTGAGAGGTGATGATGGTTTGAACAAGTATAACCCAAATCCTATGGTGGCCATGTGTAAGTGAGAAGGGAATGTATGCAGGATTTATGTAGGCAGAGAGATGTTGTGGAGATAGATTAACAAACTGGTTAGATGGGATGAGTTGAAGATGATGAAGGTTGTGAAACTGAGTGACTAGAAGGGATGATGGTGTCTTCAGCAGTAATAGTTAAGTTTGGTAGAGGGTTGGTTTTGGGGGAAAGTAAGTAGTTGTGCTTTAGACGTGTTTAGTTTTAAGATGCAAGAAAGCCAGAGTTCTACCCATGCTTTTTTTTCTCTGTGTGACCTTGGCTCAGTTTCCTTATGATTACAGTGAAGGCATTTCCTTCTAGCTCCAGTATTCTGACTTTCTGTTCCTTTTTCAGCCCTAACATTTTTCATTTTAATCTTCCTTCCAGCCTTGACCATATCCAAACAGTTTCCAAGGCTTGTTGAAGCTAGCACCATAATATCTCTTGTCCCATTCGCACACAAGTTGCCTTGGTCTGCCCACCCTCAACCTTTCCTTTCTTCAATCCACGGATCTTAAAGGGAAAAGACAGGAGAAAGAGAGGAAGCTATTAACTATAGTCCAGCCAAGTGGTGATACGAGTTTAAACTAAGGTGGTGACTGTGTGAATAAAGAGAAGGGATGTATAAGAGAGATGTTGCTTTAAAGTAGGCTAGACAATTTGGCCACTGTTTGGGTGTAGGGTTAAAGGAAGGGTCAAAGATTGTTTTGAGGTTTTGAATCTGGGTAATTGGCAGGGTAATAGTGCCTTCAGCACTCAGTAGGTTGGAAGAAAGATGACATACTCAATTGTCTCATACCAGTAGATACACACAGTTATTAGTTCAAGATGTGGGATTAGAGCCAGGAAAGAAGCTAACAGTGGGTATAGATTTAGAAATCATCTGCATAGGTAAATTCATCAAAGGAGAGAGCATAGAAAGAGAAGTCCCAGGCAGAACCTGGGGGAGCAACTACACTTTGTAGGGAGCAAGTGGATAGTTATCTGGCAAAGGAGATTGAGAAGGAACAACAAGTAAGAGAACTAGGAGACAGCAGTGTCACAGAAGTCAATGGAAAGGAGAGGATACAGAAGGAGCAGTGCCAAAATCTTCAGAGGGTCAAGAATAGCGTTTCAGGGATCATAGGTTTAGAGCTAAAATAGGTGTTCAAGGCCATCTAGTCTAAGATTATTGGCAACTTTTGAGTTGAGTTGAGTAACTGTTTTACTAGAATAGCCACATCAGCCAGATTGAAAGGAAGGCTGACAAGTCAGTGGTTGGTGAGAAAGTAAAAGTAATAAATGTACATAACTTTTTTTTTGCCCTTGAAGTTTGCCTTTAAAAGGTAAAAGAAACATGGCTTGAGGGCCAAGTGGAGGATTTTTTTGGGGGGGGGGGTGAGGCAGTTGGGGTTAAGTGACTTGTCCAGGGTCACACAGCTAGTAAGCATCAAGTATCTGGTCTGAGGCCAGATTTGAACTTAGGTCCTCCTGACTTCAGGCCCGATGCACTATCTACTGTACGAACAAGCTGCCCCAAAGTGGAGAATTTTTAAAGATGAGTTAAATGATATGGAAGGAACCAGTAAATTGGAAGACATTGAAGATGAGAGAAATAGGCATTGATCCTCAAACAGAGCATGTTCCAGAAGAAAGTAGGGGATAGGATTGAAAACACTAGTAGAAGGTTTGACTTTGGTAAAGAATTGCATCAGTGTAGGAAATGTAGGAAAAAGTTTTTGAGGTATGGAGTAGGGGAGATGAGGGGGCTCACAAGGAATGACCTAAATTTTCTCAAGAAAGTAAGATAACAAGTCATTTACAGAGAGAGAGGTGGGGTTAGGGCCTGAGGAGAGAAGACTTCAAAAAGTCCACAGTGTGATAGAGGAAGAATAAAAGGAATGCCAGTCAACAGTGAGGGCTTGATCAAGATTATATAACATGATCTGTGGTAGAACCTAGTCAGCATGATCATGTGACTTCCAGCAGTATTTAGAAGCCTGGGGGTAGGAACAGAGAAAGACAAATTGACCCAAGGTTGAAGAGTGGCAGAATGGAAGGATAAGGGGCTAAAGGAATAAAGGATGGAAGACTGTAGTTTGGAAAGCTCCGTTCTATCTCTCTATGTCTTAGGAACTGATGGGTGAAGTGATGAGCTGAGATAACAAGGAGGGATAGAGGAACTGGAAATCAGAGTAAGGATAAAGATTGAGCTTAGGAATGAGGCAGAAGGAGAAATACAAGGACAGTTTAAGAGGTGATCAAAGAAGAGTTTTAGAGTGCAAGATCATGAAATTTTAGGTCCTGGTAAAGACTAAGGTATGACCAATGTGTGGCTGGCTGAGAATGGATGTCACAAATCATGAGAGTTGGAGAGTTTGATAAGTGGGAGGCCAGAATGTTCAGAGGAATACTGTCATGAATATTGTGTTCTCAAGGAATAAGGAGTGAATTTTGGTGAATAACAAGGTAGTGAGCAGGTATCTCATGCATTTTGTAGTTATTTGGAATGGGATTTCCCTATTTTTGTTTCTTGGGTTTTGTTATTATGTAGAAATACTGTTGATATGTTATTATGTGGGAATACTGTTGATTTTTTTGTAGCCTGCAAATTTGCTGAAGTTATAAAGTGTTTCAGTTGTAATACCTACTGATTCCTTATGATTTCCCAAGTATATCATCATATCATCTGGGATGTTTTATCTTTCTTTATTCCTTTAATCTCTCTTGTCTTACTGTTGCTAGCATTTCCAGAATTATCTCAAATAATAGTGGGGAGAGTAGGTGTCCTTGCTTTATTCCTATATTTATTGGAAAAGTTTTAGTGTATCTCCATTGCTTATGATGTTTGTCTTTGGATTTAGATAGAAACTTTTTTTGATGCTAAGAAAGGTCCCTCTCTGCCTATACTTTATATACCTATACTATATAGAGTTTTTAGCCTGAAAAAATTATACTTTTTCAAAGACTTTTTCTGCAAGTATTGAAATAATTATGTGGTTTTGGATGTTTTGATTTTTAATATGATTAATTAAATTGATTATTTTCCTAATATTGAACCATCTTTAAATTCCACTTGGTCATAATGAATGATTTCTTGATAAATCACTGTAGTCTGTTTGATAAGATATTGTTTACAGTTTTTCAATTAATGTTAATTGAAAATATTAGCCTATAGTTTTCTTCTTGTGTTTTATCTTTCCCTGGTTTAGGTATTATGACTATATTTGTCTCATAAAAAAGATTCTGGTAAGGTGCTTTATTTTCTCAATTTTTGAAGTATAGGTACTAATTTTTTTTAAAAGTTTGAAAGACTTCTCCTGTGAATCCATAGGGCCAAGAGTCTTTGTTCTTTGATAGTTCCTTTATATCTAGATTTCCTTCCTTTTCTGAAATTGGGTTTTTTAAGATCTCTATCTGCTCTTCTGATAGTCTGGATCTTTTACATTTTTGAAGGTATTCCTCTTTTTTTTTTTTTTGCATTCTCAGTTTTGTTAGTATATAACTGTATAATATGTTTTGATTATTCTTTTTGTTTCTTTTGTTTTGTGATTTTACCTTGTTCATTTGCTGTTTTGTTGATTTAATTTTCTGCCCTCTTTAATAGGATTAGCTAAAGGTTTAGCAATGTTATTGGTCTTTTCAAAGAACTAGCTTTTACTTTTGTTCATTGTTACAATGGGTTTTTTCTGCTTCTACTTTATCAGTTTTTCCTCTAAATTAATATCTTCTCTTTTGTGATTATTTTAAGTTTATTTATTGGCTTTCTAATTTTTTAAAATGCATACTCAGTTCATTAATTTTCTCTTTTTCTATTTTGTTATTGCATGTTTATAGGGATATGATTTTTCTCTCTGAGGACTGCTTTAACTGCTTCCCAGAAATTTTAATGTTTCATCATTGTCATTTTCTTTCACAGAAGTATTAATTTTTTTTTTTAATTTGCTCTTTGACCCACTCATTATTTAGGATTTCATTGTTAGGTCTCCATTTGATTCTGTGTTTTTTGTTTGTGGTCCTTGA